TAGAGGAGAAGGGATGTGGCATGGCCATTCCCCCTGGGGGGCGACTATTGCTTTCTGTCTCTCTCTCTCTGTCTCTAGTAAGCACACGTGGCCTATAGCAAAAATCTCTCTTAAAAAAAAAATGAAGCTACAGGCTTACCCTGAGACCATACTTCCAAACTTTTGTTATGCATATTTAACTATGGTCTTCTTAATCTCATAATCTGTTTTTAATACTGTTACACTTGAAGGTAGATCATAGCCACTGATCAGAGCACTCATGTCTTCTTTTCCAAAAGCCCAGGACTTCCTTTGGCCTCTGCAGCACACCCTAGGGGCAGGAGCAAGGTGCCATAATCTGGGGGCTGGGGAGCCACCGTCCCAGGTCAGTCTCTCATCCTGCGCAGGCTCATTGCCTCTCTCAGGAGCTAGACGCCTCCTACAGGGCAGAGCAAAGGGAGGCGAAATGGCAAGTGGTTACCAGTGTCGTGGAAGAGGTAATATATTGGGCCATCAGAAAAGTCATGACTCAATATCTCTTAAAATGACCTTTATTTCCCTTTTCATTGGGATACTCCCTTTTTTGTGTCTAGTATTATGAGATTCTCAGTTTTGATAAAAAAAAAATCATTGTCTCCTTATTTTTAAAATGAACCTTTATAGAGCTTAAATGGAATTACAAGAACAGCTGAGTTGTTCAAGCTGGGACTTTTGTGGAAGATACCTAACGTCGGAGGATGATGCAGGGTGTTCTCTGGTCTGCTGCTCTCCCTTCCCTAGTTATGCACAATCACATTAGGGCAATTAGATTATAACTCTAACTTCTGAAAAGCCATTTAGAGAGATAAGAAATTCATTTCACTGTATTATACTCTAAATTGTAAATGAGATTCAAGATGAATTGTCTAATAGGTTCAGGTTTTAAATTGAAATTTTCTTCTGTGTTATTTTATATCTTTGTGATTCACTATGAAGGTTGGTTTAAAAAGTTTTAAAAATAATGATGTTATTTTGCTCCTTTAGTCAAATTTAAAACTCCTCTTTAAAAAAAAAAAAAAAAAAAGTTGACCTGGCCTCTTCTTCATACCTCCTAAGTTACAACTTTCTTTACCATTCTAGAACTACATGGAGGGTTTTATTTAACCTGAACATAGAAGAAAATGAGTATAAGCATTTTTTGAGTGGGGAGCAGCTCAAGAAAGTATAGTTTATACTGCTCTTCCTGGGAAGTGGGGAACGGCGTCCAGTCCCGCTTTGTTACTGGGTTCTGCAGCCCTGAGGTAGTTATAGTTGATGGCCCTGTAATAGCTCTCGTAAGGGAATGAGTGGTATCGTGTGGCATGCATGTGTGTATGCTCAGTGTGACTTTCGGTGTGGGTGGACCTAGGTTGGGGCTTGGAGGCCATCGAGTCATTTATTCATTTAACAGGAGCAAACAGCCGTGTGATTCTGTCTGTAGACAGTGTCTGTTAGTCTCCTCCTTACGAGCATTTCTCCCTCAGGTCCTGTTCTTTTCCTGAGAGCCAGTGAGCCTTCCCATAGTTCTGAGACAATGAAAACTACTCGCCAATCTTTGCTTGTGGTGTGTCAGGGCCTCTTTCCCCTGTGACTGCTGCTGCATTGGCAAGGTGTTCTGGTTTTGACTGTGCACCTCCGGGTAGGTTACCACAAGTTAGATTCTCAGTTCTGTCGCTACTATGTCTCATCAAGCCATCTGAGTTGAAGATATAGGGTTTTAACTTGACTCATGCTGCCTTTTGAAAAATTATTTATTTATTTATTTATTTTTGCATTAGGGTACATACTCTCGCTGAAGGAGACACACACAGAGAGAGACATATTCTCCCTTTGGGATTTTGGGTACACATGTATGATGCACCTGAAGTGATTTTCAAGCAACTGGGTTCAGGACTCAAACCCTGGTCAGGTATGCGGGAGTCCAGTGCCTTAACCATCATGCCACCACCTGGTCCTGCCTCCTGTGCTCTTGATGAAATAATCCTGGCACACTTGAATCAGTTGTTCAACATGTGAGAGCCTGTCATGTGCCAGGCTCTGTCCTAGGTGTTTGGGATATATACAAGGGGCTTCAGAAACCTGGTGGAAAAATGGAAGTAAAGTATGAGTTTATTTTGGTGCCAAAAAATTTTGAAAGCCGTGCAGTTTCTTTGCAATATGTATTTTTCATGAACTTTTTGAAAAGTGCACCTATATAAAAACCACAAAAATCATTGGGCATATACATCAGACTCCTTGATATCTTCTAGTGGTTTTTAATCCCTCTTCTGGAGTGAAGGCTCACACCCTCATGCTGAATAAATATGTTCATTTGCTTGGCACTGTTTTGTTGTTGTTGTTGTTGTTTTTAACAGTGTTTGGGATGCACTGGAGAGCAAGAGCTAGGTGACAAAGAGGCCAGGTAGATGATTTTTTTTCATGTATTCTTTCAGCATTTGTTTATCTGGGTCTCTTGTGTCCAGTACTGGCCTTTTCCAAGTAGTTCAGGAAGGAACCAGTGAGGGCAAGAAGTGTTGCTGGCTCTGATGGGTATGAGAGGACTGCACACTAAAGCAAGAGTGGAACCCCAAAGGCTTAAGGTACAGACGGACATGTGTGCACACTCATACGTGTGTAACGTAAGCAGCTGGGAATTGTGGTCAGGTGCTTAGAGAAGAATTCATTGTGTAGGACCCACCTTTGAGGTAAAATGTGGGGGGTTTTGGTTTGTTTTTGCTTTTGTAAAATTTTTTTTTTTTATTTTTAGAGATTTTTGCTGTAGAGGGTGCATGCTCACTGGAGAGACAGAAAGAAGCAGAGAGGGAACCAGCAGTTAGCATAATGGTTATGTTGCTGGACTCCCACGTAGTCGACCGCGGTTCGCGTCCTGGACCTGGTGGCTTAAAACTCACGCCGGGCGCGTGTGCGTGCATGCCCAAGATCCCAAGAGGAGAATGGAGGAGAAGGGATTGCAGCGTGACCATCCCCCCTGGGGGGTGAT